AGTTAAACTGACACACCCGCTTTTATTGTAAGTGAAAGCGTAGGCTCCTTTTGAAATCACGGAGCGACATGGTGGTCATATTTGAAACCACAGTAACACTTCGTTTGATTATTTGAGCTTTTTCTTCTTAAAACACATGCTGACATCAGTGGATATTTACATTTTTTTTGTATCCTGCCCAATTCAAGAGCCAATCTTCTAATTAGGTACAGTATGCAGTTATGACAATAGCATGACGTCATTCTGCGTCAACGCAAACCACACAGGATTCCTGTAGCTAGTAATAACTGTCTAGAAATTATCAGAACATATGAATTGTTGGAAATGAGCAGGGAACACAAAAACAATGCTCACTATTATAATTTAAAAAGCTGAAAAGCAGGCACAACATTTAGGTCTAGGATGCAAAGTAAAATAAAAAGCGTATATGAATACAATACAATACTTACTAACACTGCAGGTATTACAATTACAGGTATGGGCGAAATTGTGTTTACTGTCTCTGACAGTTTGTATTGATTCATTGAAAGCTAAAACAAATATAGTCAATGTAGATGCTGGAAATGTGGGTTTTAGATTAAAAAAAAAGAGAATGAAAGACTTGATTTTACTAATATGCTAAGTTGTGTTTACTGTTTCTAAAAGAGTGTGTGTACACTGCTTCAGTAAATGCTGATACAAAGCAGCAAGTCTCTGGTGTGGACATTTACATTTAGTAGAAATATAGGTTTTAGTGTAAAAAAAGAATAGTGCTGCACTATAAGAAAATTTTTAATGACACTTATGGGCTAAACTGTGTTTATTGTCTCGACAACTGTGTATACTGCTTGTGTAATTGTGGATAAGATGTTGACTGTCTAATTTTTTTTAATAGTACCAGTATATATAATAGCAAATGTTTGGCGTAAACATCTTTTTATCTAAAAAAGTGCACACTGTTCCAGTAATGGGTGATAAGAAGCTGGTAATCTCTAAGTTGTATATTTATATTCAAATGACTAGATACTGTAACCTAGGTGTCAAACCCAAGGCCTGAGGTCCAGATTTGACCCCCCACATCATTTTATAATGAATTTTTAAAATATGTTGTGCCCATCACAAGTCTGGCCCAAAGTGCAGAAAAAAATGTCTTACGTTTGGTATTTTTTGTAGACAGGCGCAGCTAGAAAGGGAGCTTCGCTCCATTGTGAGAGTGAACACAGCCAGTGGAAGCAGCTCCTCTCATCTCTTTAAATTCAATGCAGGAAAGGCTCATAGGCTACATGGCAAAAGGATTTGCTGGCTCCAATGCAGGGGGTCGACACGCGCAAAGTACTTTTAAAAGGAACTACAAGAGGATCTCCACTGGAGGATGACGTAAAGTTGGCCACTGTGAAGTGGGCACTTGGAGGCCGCCTTCCACCACTGATCAAGCGTCTGTGTGTGACATAATGTGGTGCGATAATAAAGTGTGGGATTCACTCTCATCAATACCAACATTTTTGCTGTATACGTTGTTACACGGGACTTAACTTACATTTTTCCAGCCTGGTAACACTACACATGGTCACAGACAGCACCACTGTCCCAAAATATTGTCAGTGTAAAATAAAATTGGGTGAACGCTCATTGCCTTACAACTCCTAGTAGGACACAAAGAGGAAGCAAAAATGTGATTTTATCGACTAATATACAAAGTACTCATAAATGTCAGTTTTTGTTATTGTGTTTTATGTTGTACATTGAATTCCAAAAGTTCCTCAAAAAAGGCAATGCCCATTTTTTGATAACACATATAGTCTTACAAACCCCCTATTTAAAAACTGGTTATCCATCTATTTACACCTGTGTGCAATACCGACATCATAATGACCCTTTCTTTAAAAAAAAAAAGTGTACGCTACCACACACCTCTCAGTCAATGCTGATAAAATGTTGATAATGTCTAATTTGGACACTTAGAGTAGTTGTAAAATGCTTTTAAAATGATACTTATAATATAAATTGTATTTTTAATGCAGTCGGTGGTTCCCTAACCGTCAACAAACTAATCCATTCATTGTCTTTTCCCGGACTACAAATTGAGAGCCGCTGCGGAAGTCCCTCCCTCTCTTCGCCAAAGCAGTACCTGGATGATGTAACCCCCTTTCCAAATATAGCGTGTTGCCGTTGGCTGGCAGGCACTGCCATTGGCCGTGGCGTCTGTCAATCAAATGACGTCATGTCAGTCGTGTTATTATTGTAAACAGCCCCGCTCTAGTGCTCCTCTCCCTCCACTGACGCTCCGCGTAGCCGACTACTCCTCGCAAGCCCCTTCCTTTGTTCGCGAAAGCACCGACACGACGCAGTTATCGACTGGCACCGCAAAGTTCCAATCACAGTTTCGAATCACGAACACTAGGAGAAAAGATTAAAAAGGATCGTTTTGTTGCGTGTCGATATTCAAGCTCGCGAGGGTGACCGTTTGTGAGCCGGCGAGCGCTGCTTGGCGGGACTGACAATAACAAACGAAAAGAAAGCACAAGAACTGCAGTTTAACTACGAGCTCAACTTGTTTGGACACTCATTCGCTGTTGCGTGTGGTGCGAACGCAACAGACAAAAAAATGAAATAAAATAAACGTGGCTAAATGTTAAATTGTTATTTAAAACAAAAAAGGTGCAACTTGTCATTCTGTACACGGAGTTGTCATCTACTTTATCCTCAAATCGACACTCGAAAAAGTTACATTTAACAACAATAATATTAATCGTACTTACTCAAGCTATTGGATGCTTTGGTGGAGTGCTCGGTCCGCATCTTTGCCTCTCTGCTGGGGTGACACCCTCCACACCACGGCCGCCGTTCACCGCCTTCTGCCCGGCAAGTTGAGTTGACAACACGCTGCCATTCTGCTGACTGGCGGGCAAGTGCAGCTTCAGCAAAGCTTCGAGGAAGTTGTTTCTTTTGTTCCACTATTTTGCCTTGCGTCAATATTGCGAAAAAAAAGAGGAGGGTGGGGGTGGACGTGGAGGAGGAGGAGGAGGAGGGGGAGGGGGGTGATGGTGCTGGGGGGCGGTGACACCTCCCTCCCCGCTCGCATGCGTGTAAGAAGCAGCAAAAAAACAAACACTCGACAGACACAAGAGAGTTCACATTGAACGCAACACCTTGCCTTTATCATTTTAACGCCGGTTGTGCGCATGTGTGGGAATACGAAGGACAAGGTGCCGAGTTGCGCGCAAACGGACAGCGAACGCAACACTGTCCCTCGCACCCCGTTTGTGTTACTCCAACAAAACTTTATGATGGGTTAAAGAATCGTGATGGGATCCACACTCCATGAAACGTGATGCCTTCACTTCCCCAAACGAGGCGTCCTCACATGGGGAAGTCGAGAGACGGAAAAAAATGCATTTCCTAATTTTCGTCGGTGTTGCGTTAATGTTCTCGGGGTTGCCCTCCTCCCCCCAGGCAACTTCTGGTATCTGCACTTTAGTTTTATTTGGACAATTCGGCACTCTAGTTTGGAGCGTCACTCAGGACACAATAACAAACGCGTATTTCCGGGATCTATGTACGCGCATACGCACATGGACACGCACACAAGGTGAACAGAGGCGGCTTATAAGCATAAATAGGATCATGTGGGTTCATCGGATAAAAGGGTGAAACGCGCCACCCCCTCCCTCGTCTATATAGTCTTACAGTGGCGTTGCGTCAGGAAGTTGCTGGAGTCACTGAGGTCACTCGCCATCAAGACATAACTCAAGTCTTCCTCATCAACTACGGCGTCCATACGATAGGATGCCTATTGCTGTGCACTAACATAGCATCAGTACCTATATAAACACAAGATGGGAGCTACACGCTTTTCTCTACATGCAATGAATACTGAACAAATTTGAATGAGCATGCCCAGGAACGTTCAAACTATCACACGAATAAACACTAATAAAATGTTGGGTTGTTGTCGTAACCCACTGGCTGGGTCGCTGTGGATTTGGAGCAGATTGGATTTTGACCCAACAGATTGGGATGAAGATCGGATGTGGGTGGCTGAAGTTGGTTGGATGGCTCAGTGGGTAACAGCAACACGGGTGTCTTTAGATATTGGCGTTTTAGGCCAGAAAGATGTGGTCACTCAAGTTGTCCTCCATATAGAAACGAATGTGATGGGCGCAGTATCATCTGTCCCCAGCAGAGGGCGCACTTCCTGGATGATTGAGGTTAGAATTTGGGTTTCGGTCAGTCCATACGAGGGGTGAAGGGAATGAGAAATTGTAACTTTCAATGTTCAATTAAGCCCAATGTCATAAAATGGCGCATCACTAAAGCTGCCAAAGAAATCATTAAAACAATTTTAAAAGATGGCGCTTCGGAGCAGAATCCATACAGGTGGAGTCACACGTTTAGGTCCACCCCACATTGAGCCACACCTGGAAATGCGCTCCGCAGACAGGACTTACTTTGTCCATTTTAGACTCAGGTCAGCTATATCACCCACTTTAGGTTAGCTTTGATCCTGCAGTTGTAAAAGTGCAGTATATATATAGTTAAAATCTCACTTAGCTTTACTTCAGGGGTGAGGAACCTTTTTGTATCAGAATGGATTTTAGATTCTGTAAAGCTCTTCTCCTACAATACAAAAGTATACATTTGATTCATTGTATGTGGCCCAGGAGCTGTAGTTTCCTCACCTCTGTTTTGTTTAGTCCACCTGCACATGACTAGAGAATGAAAGATCCAATTAAAGAGAACATTCATGTAAGCATGGGGAGAATGTTCAAACCCCAAGCCTGAGATTCAAAGCCTGACCCTCAGAACTGTGACACAAATATGGTAACCACGAGGACCCCATACTGCACACACTCTACCATGACTTTGATTTTCAAAAAGTAATAACGCATAGAGTCAATTACTACATGAAAGGAAATTTCATGCCACTTTTTTGTGTCTATTCTTCATCTTTCCACTTGGAAGCCATTCTCCTGTACAAAGTTAATCTTTGGTGAAAAGTGCGATAAACTGTCACTCACCGGCAAGATCAACGTCGTCCACTCATTTTTCACATGATGGATAAAATGTCAAATGTCTTGTGTGATACCTTTACATTAGGGTAAACGGGGCGACAAAGAGAGGACTTGCCCGTGTCCTGAAGTGGGTCAACGGATACCCCTGCTCGGTGATACGGAACATCGCTGCCCCTCACATCTACACAAAGAAGAAGACAGAAAAAAAAGTCATTTTGCTCACTTGCCAGATAATTAGAGACTATTTGCCCTATTTGTCCCCTTAAATAAACAGTTGGCCTTTTAGTGGTGAGTGCAAAGCACACAAAATATGATCAGTGAACCTCCCACACTTGTGCTTTTAATGCAAAATGGGCAGTCGGTCGAAAGCCTTAACTTATTACATTGTCTTCTCTCATATTTAAAAGGTAAAAAAATAAATAGACACTTATTCCAAGGGAAAAAAGTAGATCAAATGTACGCGCGCAGTCAAATTCAAAGCAATTAAGTTAGGACACATTTTTTAAAAATATTGATATATTTTGATGCTTCTAATTCAGAAACGCAAGCTCTCCAAGCCATTTGAATTACATTCAACACTTAACCCGGAGGTCAAATCGAAAGCAGAGGAGATTGTATTGAAGGAAATGAAATGAATGAGTGGCGCTATCTTACATCACAGGGTACCATCGCACATAAAGCGGATAAGCTGACACACATGCATGCTCACTCACTGCACAATGGTATATGCACAAAAAGAGGCCCGCATTTACAAGGCACTTATGGGTCGTTCTCCACAGAGACGGACGGCACATGGTCTTGTGATAACTGCCTGGTCCCACAATGAAACCTAACATGCAACAGAGCAGCCTCTTTTCACCAGCAGAGTAGAATTTTCAAAAATGTATATGCTCCCTAACCCAAAGTTAAGTGTGCTCCAACAACATATGAAAACCACACAAATAACAAATCAATCAATATCATTCATGATACATTTTCTACTACTCAAATTATATTACAAAAAAAACAAAAAACATTTTCACTAATTACTCTAACTGTACTCACTAGCAACTTTGGCCGGAGAGCTCAGTTGCAAGACACATCAGAAAAGGACAGGGAGATATGGCAGAAAGATAAACTCCAAGAAAATTACTCAAAAACTTGTCGTAAGTATGCCTCAGCATAACATTGTTTCCTTATCACAAAAAATAAAAAATAAATTAAAAAAAAAAGAATTTACCTTGACCTGAACTAATACTCCATGAGCATATTCTGACAATGAGAGTGCCACCGCCACCTACGGTCACGTATGCGCAATTACACTTTATTCTAGTATGCTTCAAAAAATAGCATGTTCCTTGAGGTCACAAGCGTAGTAACGGACCCACTATCTGAGAAGGCAAAAGTTGTGTACCATTACCACCTTGGGACAGAATGTTGCTGCTCCATATTGCCAAAAAAGGACAAGGATATCTATCCGTGTTTCTACAGTTACTGTTCTGTAAAAACTGTGCTGAGTAAAAAGACTGTAGTTATGGGCTTTTACCACGACTTGCCCCAGCAATACAAAATCGTCAGAAGAATTTGTGTTGCTCGGGCAAAATGATCGCTGATCCTCCAAAACCAGTTAGCATGCGCAGGCTAGCATGATAAAGGAGGGCAAAGTGGAACAAACAATGGACGGCTGCTGCTTGCTCATGACTGAGGCTTATGACTAACATCGGAAGAGAGTGGGAGGGCGCCCGTGCCAGTGTTGCCATACCAATGTTGAGGATAATAGAGCGAAGGGAGGAGTAAGTGGACACTGACGGATATACCAAATAAAACTACAGATCGAATACAAACATTTACATCTTGATGAGGATTTAATCCCCCGCATGCTTACATTGCATGAAAACATGTTGCATGTGAGAGCCCGGCGTGTTGATCATACATTAAGTCCAGCAGGAAGGAGCGTGTCTGTTTATTGCTGCTGTCCATCCATCCATCAATTTTCCGATCTGCTTTATCCTCATAAGGGTCGCGGGGGGTGCTGGAGCCTATCCCAGCCGTCTTCGGGCAGTAGGCGGGGGACACCCTGAACCGATTGCCAGCCAATCGCAGGGCACACAGAGACGAATAACCATCCGCGCTCACACTCACATCGAGGCACAATTTAGAGTGTTCAATCAGCCTGTCATGCGTGTTTTTGGAATGTGGGAGGAAACCGGAGAAAACCCACGCAGGCCTGGGGAAAACATGCAAACTCCTCACAGGAAGGCCGGAGTCGGGATCGAACCCACAACCTCTGCACTGTGAGGTCGACACGCTAACCACTGGAACACTGGGCCACTCTTTGCTGCGGTCCAACAATCCAAATTTTGTTTGCGATAACGTGATTATTATTATTATTAGTATTTATTATTATTATTTTGACAAAATGTTGAATTGACCTTTTTTTTCCAATTTCCATTTTAAGACACTTTTTCATGAGCTGTAGTGTAAAAAATAATTTAAAAAACGTATGAGAAAAATGTTTGTTAAAAAGGTCCTCGTATCCTCTTATAAAGTCAATAAACAAGTTGTTCACAAGTCACCTTGAGAAGTTTGCATTTGCAGACTCCAAAATGTTATTGTGGTGAAAAGCGAGCTTTTGTTTTCTCGTGGACAATGGTCCCGTGCAAAAGGGAATCTCGAACAAGGTAGGAAATTTTGCAGAGCACCATATTTGCGTTTATTGGTTAACAAAAGGCCAGGAGGGCGCCACATTGGTTGGTACCTTAGCCTAAGCAGTGGCATTTTTTTGGTCTGTGATCAGGAAAAGTCCACCCACCCCCACTACTGAGGATTGCTTTCCATCCTTTCCAATCAGGAAAATTTCGTCCCCCTTCCTTTTGTGTCTGGTCAAATTAGAGTTTTCAATTTTCAAAACAGTTTTCAAAAACAAGCTTTCAATTGAAAACAGCCTGTGTAAACAACTCCCTAATTCCTCTCAAAAAATTGTGGACAGACTTTTGTTTTCTTATTTAGGTTTGTTAGAAGTTCACCTTGAGTCCCATTTCTTTCTATTCACTTTTCAGTCTCCAAAAGGTTTTCAGGGAAACGCACAGCCCAAATATTTTTTTCCCTGTTTTACTTGAAACATCCCCAAGGAAGCAGCTCCTTAATTCCTCTAACAAAAGTGGAAAAGAAAATTCATGGAATGACACATTTGGCTTTGGTGTCAAGCAGGCCACTTTGACACAGATTTTTGTACTTGGAAGTTGCCCTTTTCAAGCTCACTGTTGTGTAAACCAATCATTCATTTTAAGTTACGGTAAATGGAAAACATGGAAGAGGTCGCCTTATTTCCCCCCGAACATAATTGCAGCGCCATATTTGTTTTTGTTCGTTAACAGGGCAGCTAAAAACTGCTTTGTTGTATGATTGCATTTTCAGCATCCATTACTCATATTTTCAGTCCAAACGTCTGCAGTGGGCGAGCGCGCAAGCTGAAATGAGTTGATTCTTCTGCTGCGTCCTAAATACAGTATTGTGTCCTGCACTTATCGGTGGTTGTGTGTCCAATCCTTAAAAAAAAAAAAAAAAAAAAGTCGGTCGTCGGTGCGAAGCAGAGGACGGCAACTCCATCTCCGCTGTTTATTTTGTTTAATCCGTGGCACCGACTCATGATTCCTCCCTCATTCCCTTCCTATCTTTCATCCCTGCTTCTCTCTGTCCCACACTGCATGCCTCTCTATTTATACTGTTGAGTCAGTTTGACACTGACGGTCATGGCACACGGCGATAAGAAACACTGAATCATCCTGGTTTAAAAAAAAAAAAAAAAGCCGACCGACACACTTGTGTGTTTTCTGAAACTCAACGTGTGCCGAGCGAAATGTTCTCAGCATCTTCCCGAGAGGTGGGGGGTAGGGGGCAGTGGGGATGGGATGCTGGCAGGGGAGGTGTCAGGAATGGCGGCAGCACAGTGTGGAGCACAGCACAGCCAAGTGGACAACAATGGAAGCATGCAGAGGCACAGGTGTTCCTACTGACACAATCTGAATCATAACCATCTTTGTGAATGTGTTTACCTTGGATGCTTGAGCGAGGCCCTTAACTCCACCTAGCTCTGCTAATGCGCTTGTCACATACAAAATGCACGCAGTGGGGGTCTGTCTACGTGTGAGGTGGATAACGTGATGTGTTTTCATGATGTATGCGTTTGCGTGGAGAGCCGCCGCTATTGATTCTCTTGCACTCTCGCTGCACTCGAGCGTACTTCCCTCAGGAATGCCAGCGCCAAATGGAATAACGCTTCTCAAAAGAGACCAAAGAGCAACCGGGCGGCCCGTCTAGCCAACAAAAGAGCGGGAAAATCCGCCGTTAAAAGTCACCTTTTCGAACCACTCCATCCCTTTATTACCCCCCTCCTTCTTCTTTTACTCACTGGAGGATGCTCAACCATCAGGTCTCTTGGCTCCACTCCATGGGATGATGTCATTGTAGATGACATCACCATGCAGACACACACACACACACACACACACACACACACACCCAACCCTCCCACCTTCATTTTTTTCCCTGAGAGGGAAGGTTCTGTTTGACACACACACGTGATACCACAAGCCAAACTGCCCTGTTAGCACAAGCACTTGGATTGAGACGACACACACACACATACACAAAGGAGGTGTGGTGAAAGACTACGAGAGAGGGGGAGGGGCACACAGGGTACAAGTTAGTCTAATTACACAACGCTGGTGGAACCATGCGACCACAAAGCACACACTGTCATTAAGATTCAAACCAGGACGTTGTTAACATGCTTCTATTTGCGACGCCACTGTCTGGTGTCGAATTACGATAGGCAAATTAGGCTCCCAAAAAGTGGTTCGTCAAGGTCTTTTTTGCCCACTTTTTTTTTTTTTTAACATCCGTATGACAAATATGGGAAGAAAGTGGCAAGCTCAGCACTGGCCCGCATCCTCACAAATTGGCCTGCAAATCTAATTACTTAACCGTTTGTTTAATCAACATCAAAAACAAACAAGGATAAATAGGGGCTTCATCGAGGTTTATGTGCGAGGATATTTCTTGAGTACGACTGTAAAACCGCACCATTATGAGATAAAAATGACCTATAATGTATAATATGACCCTTTTACACAGAGCCATGCAAGTGGGTTTTTTTTTCTCCTCTTTGCAGCCTATAAGGCACTTAAATGGGGATAAATGACAAACTCGAGTAACGCTGCCAAACAAAAACAATGCAAACAAAAGTCCGGATGTTAGCTGGCAATTTCTTGATATCCGAAATATGATGTGAGATAACACTAACAATTGTGATTCTGGGGCAGAAGGAAAATGTATGAAGTGTTGTATTTGGTTTTGTGCTGTATTTGTGCCATAGGAGGCTACTTTCTAGTTCACAGAAAATGACAGTAGACACAATGGGATCGTACCATTTTTGTGTTTGCTGGCAGCCTGCGTCCTTGTTCACTGAAGACAACTGAATCCGACCATTTTGGATCGAGCGGCACCGGGAACGTTTGTGAATCAACTGCAAGACCCCACCTTAGTTCTCTGCTTACCATGCATACCACCACCCACACTCTCCATTCCAGCAGTTTCATGACCCTCTTCGGTCCCAAGGTCAATCCTGTTTTTGGTTTATCGTTTCAATAATTTGCGCCAAAAGACTGGAACAATCTGCAACAAAAAGTCACTTCATTCGTTCCAGTATCTTCGTTTAAAAAGTTAGTCAGGGACACTGTTGGTACAAAGCTTACACACAAACGTAATTTTTTTTTTTATTGTCTGAATTGTCACAAACTTTCTCAAATATTTTCTGAGTATTATTCAAGCCGACTTCGGGCAGTAGGCGGGGGACACCGTGCCTGCCATCCGCGCTCACTCACACCGAGGCACAATTTGGAGTGTTCAATCAGCCGACCATGCATGTTTTTTGGAATGTGAGAGAAAAAAAAGAGTACCCGGAGAAAACCCACACAGTCCCGGGGAGGACATGCAAACTCAACACAGGGAGGCCGGAGCCGGGATCAAACCCACGACCTCTGCACTGTGTGGTCGACGCGCTAACCACTGTCACCAAGCCACCCTACCTATCTATTTATCTATCTATCTTATAATATCTTGATATTGTTAAAATTGTATTGCAAGTTACTCTGTTATTCCCACCCTAAATTAGCTCCTCAAATGTCGCTACCATCTAAAACCACAGAAATTTTACAATCTATATCCTGCTGATTCAACTTAGGGAGAAAACGATTGTAATTACATTAAGAGCACAATCGAGTGATTTTATTTTTTTTGTTTGTTTGTTTTTGCCGTTGGGGTGATTCAATTTCCTTTAGAGCGACTTGTTGAAGAGCGCTGACCGGCACCACCATCACATTTGTGTCATGACTAATTTAGTAGAAAGATCTTTCTCACCCTCTCGTCTCAGCGCACCAGCGGTACTCCCTCACTCCTGAAACATGTCTGGCCTTTATGGAGCACACTTGGCACTCCGGCATTCGATGATGTCATCCGAGTTGAATGGGCCTAAACGACACGAGGATCAGCAAAGTGAAAAGAAGGCAGGGGGACGTGATGAGCTGGTGTAGATATTCCCCCCCTGTCCGTTCAGCAACACTAACAACATTTTGGTGCGTTTCCTGGGACACTGGTCCTAAATTACATTTTGCAAGTCTCAAAATATTGAGGCATGATTGCAGGTTTTCATGCGGTGCTGCTGAAGGAGGTCTGGAGAGCGGTTTCGAGTCTGCCTGGTTTTACACTGGAAAAGACAACGATGCAGAGGAGATGGTAGGATCTGATATTTAGGCATCGCATACAATTGCTGCATTAATTGATGCATTTGGTAAAGTGAGTTTTTGTGACAGTATGTGATGACACCTGCTTGGTAGTTTTACAACATGCTAAATTCAGCTGATACATTGTATTGCTGCTAACCAATGGCCTCTTATCCAAAAGCTATTTGATACTTTTAGGCATATTTTAGCCAAGGTGAAAAATAAAACATCTTAAAAAAATCTTTACTTGTTGAATGTCACAATAAAAACATGTTTTTTCATTTTATGAAGTGAAATTATATTTGATCCACTAAAAATGTGATGTTTTTTATTCCTACAGAACGGATGGTGCTCATGAGATGCTAAAAAACTCCGCAGGGTATCAAGTAATTATTAGCCTCAATGTAAACTGTTGGAAGAAAGCTTTTGAAAAGTATTTAAAAAGAAAAACGCCGTGTTGTTTAAATATTCACAAACAAAACAAATACTCGCTTTCGGGCTGGTGTGAGCGGTTTAGAGTGCCTCGTTGTCGGTCGCGAGTGCGCGCACGTCAAGTGAGATGGTGGAACAACATGCTTCTTTGAGATCAGCCAAATTTAGAAGACATTTATTTTCCCCTTACAGTAAATTTAACCTGAATATGCCCTTTTCCCTCCAATTAATTAAAAACAAGCGCTAATACTAATAAACAGTGGTGGGCGTATCAGTGAACTTCCGTCATTCGACCCGGGAGGTGGTTGTGTGTGCCATAAAACGTTGCCTGCATGGTACTTGATCTAGTCTTCTTTTAGTCTAAAAACACTGATGATACTTGCTGTCTTAAAACTGTAGCTCAAGGCGAATAATGCGCTGGGTTGGGGGATGTCAATATCTGTGCTCTTCCTGAACGGGGAGGTTCGCAGCATTGGTCATGGAGTTCATCCATCTGCCCAATGAGTGTAAGCCAGGACCCCTGTCACTTCCACCTGCTCTCGCCTCCAGAGGAGTTGGGAGGCGAGGGGGAATAAATTTAGATGACGAGAGAAGCTCATCCGCAAAAGAGAGATCATCCAGATTGTTGGGGCTCTCATGGTTTTTGCCAAGCATAAAGGGAGGGCATGAGAACAAAATGTGTGCCCACTTAAGTCCTTCTACACACTGAAAATAAGGTGTAGCCATGTATACGCTTGATATTGGTCTTTGTACATCATACAGTATTTTTTTTTTTTTTTTAATCATCAACTGGAAATACTCCTCAAGGCAGATGGCCGCCCACCCAGCGTGTGCTTCTTCTTGGGCTTCCCAATCCATTCATCAGCTCCAAAACAAAAAATGACTGCTCATGGAGGAATTGTTGAGTCTTCGCATGATACACAGTAATGGACAGTCTTAACACATTACTCATTGGGTACTCATTGGATGAGATGAAATTGAAGAGTAGAGGCAGAGAAAACGTCATCTTTCCCACTAAAGTGAGAGGTATTGATGTTGTTTTATTCTCCTTTGGTAAGTTTCACAATATCATATTTTTACTCATCTCAAAACATTTTTAGTCATGACAAATGATTTCTTGTAATATTACACCGTCCAACTGGAACGATCACTATTTCTTGGACTATTTTGATGACTAGTGTCTCTATTTTCAACTTAAAAAAAAAATATATATATATATATATATATATATATATAATATAAAAATCATCTTACCATTTTATTCACTTCCCTTTTCACTACAATATAAAGACTTCAGATTCCACCTTTTTTTTAATTCAGAGTGCACAACTTTTACTTTGAAACCATTTGAACTTTTTCCTCATGTTACGACTCAATTATTTTCCCTTGTAAAATTCCTTTATTCTGGAATTTCATCGAGAGAGGTTGCAATATCATTCCTTTATTCCCGTAACGTTCTTATTCCCTTTATAATCTTACAAATACATTCTTGCAACATGACACATTTTTCATAAAATATTTCAAGTACAATCTGTTACCCTAGTTTAGCTCTGATGATACTTGCTACAGTATACTTCCAGATGTTAAAGTGTTTTTATTGCAGTATTCCATTTTTTTTTTTTTAATAGCCAAGGAGCCATCCTCAACACATATGGCGTTGCACTTAGAGAAACGGTCACCTATGAAAACTCGAGTACTATAAACCACAGAAAATTAACACGGTGAGCTACTTTTAAATAGGTTTAATATGATTATGTTTCGACTCTAATTGAACGTTGCATGTTTTCCTGGCATGGTCTAATAGGAGAGACTGCGGCCTGGCTTCTGTCAGAATGTTTACAAGCGTATTATTGGACATATTTAGTTCTAGATGGCGTGCGTGTGTGTGTGTGTGTGTGTGTGTGTGTGTGTGTGTGTGTGTGGTGGGGTGGGGGATGTAGAGTTGCTTGTTTTATTTGTTCTGAGGGCAAATGAGATCCTTATCGCATCTGTTGTATATTTGTCTTGTTTATATCACGATTCGAGCATCTTGAATGTGTGTATGTGCGTGTGTGTGTGTGTGTGTGTGTGCGTGTGTGCGCGTGTGTGTGTGTGTGTAGCCAAGCCTAAAAGCATTTAAGCGGGAACGGGAGAGGGTCTGGAATGGTGGGATGACATCATTGTCTATGATGTCATTTCTTCAGGGTGACTTTGGCACATGTGAGCCTGGCTGGTGAGATCACACGTTTGCTTCAATATGCAGTTCCTAATTGACAACAGCTCAGCCGCTCATCATTAGTGACCGATGACGGCGTGACAATTTCGAAGCGGCCATTCGGGTCGTCCCAATTACCGGAGTGTTACAGGTGATATCATTCATATGCAAGTAAAGAAAGGTTCAGGTTTACTGTCGGATAGATACTATCAAACAAGAGCAAAAAAATAAAATAAAATAATCATAATAGTAATAATAATCATCATCATCAATTCAGATGTATGGCAATTTCTATATTTGCAACTGGTAAATATAAAATACCAGATGTTAATAATCATCATGTATGAAAGCAATTCATTGTTTTAGTGGTGTAAAAAAAAAATGAATCAAATGGCTGCAATGATTAGGACCATCATGTCTTAAATTAGGAATTATTTTTGCATGCATTGAAATGTGCAAATTAGCTATTTCACTGAGCAATTAAACAGCTTATAAAAATGATTATGATAGCTGATCACAGTATAATAAGGACACAGCGTCACAAAGTTCTATGATGAATCCATTCCTTATGAACCGGACATTGCATACATTATAAGCCAACACCCAAACACACCACATAAACTCCATATGAGAATCCATTTTCATGATTGAGCATACGGTAATTTCCAGCTAAAGTCACTGTTCGTCTCATAAGGCTATTTTCATAACTGTACTAAAACAACAATGTAAACTTTTAACAGTTATGTCAAAGCTAACCCAGGTCTGTTTTGCAGACATGACAAACTTTTTTTTGTTTTTGAAGTGACCCCAAACCTTGAGCAACTTATTTCTTTTGGCGTATTTCGACATTCCAACTACATACCATTGACTAGGTGTGGGTGTCTGCAATAAAAGTCTGTGTAGTAAACATAGACGGTGGCCAAACCTGGTTCCGGGCAGCACAAATACGGTGTTAAAATTATTAGTTATAGTTTGGAGACAGACATTTTTGTGTTGATCATTTTTTTGTGGTCGACTTACCCATTTTTTTCCCCCCTAGCCGTAGTATAAACATTAAGAAAGATGACGAGAGAAGATTTTCCAAATTGAGTAATAAGACACAAATTACTTTTCAACATTAGTCAGTGTCTTGTTCAATTTGCTGATGAAGCAAGAAGACACAAAGGAATTTAATAACTGACACATTCTGTTCCCAAAACATTCGTTGACTACTAATTTGTTTGGATTTCCCAAATTTTCACAAAAGAAGTAGAAATAAGACAATCCCGAGTTCAACTGCGGCTGCCTGAAAAACCTTTGTTCAGCATACAGGCAATTTTTCGAATTAACATTTTAACATTTTTAACAATCATGTAAGTGTAAAAACAAGTCATACACTGGAACATCCTATCAATCCACCAAATTCTACAAAATGTAAGACCTTCACATTCACAAAATGTGAACACATTATAAATAGTTAGCTTAGACTTGGCTTAGCAACCAACCTCACCCAATCGTCCTTCTGGTGGTACACAATTGTGCCGGAGTTCACCACTCAAGACTTTGTGCAAACCTTCCATGTGTCCAGTGAGTCATTTCTCTACATCTGCAATCGTGATGATAACCCCGCCCGCCGCCCACCACCCCCTGACGTCGTCGTTGCCAGCGTCTGGCCCCACAAATAATTGGGGCCAGTTTAAGCACCAGAGCTAAAGCTAGAGCTAGAGCCAATTTTGCTGCTGGAAAAAGAAAGGGCACTGGCCCGGAACTAGCACAAGCACAAGCCATGTTAGTCCCTTGACCATACCTGTATACGTAATTTGAATCACCTCCTGTCATAAATGCCTCTTAGCTTGAACATGTGTTCTCTCATTCACACGCAAACACACGCGAATCGCTTGAAGCAGATCATCTATTCTCATTAAAACCGCGTTGCAGTCTGCAGAAGCCAAACTAACCGCGTGCCAAAGTAATAAACTTGCAATCCTCTCCTGCCATTACCTCACCGTCATGATATCACACCAGTGTCTCATAGTGATGACATCACACGAGCAAATTCGCAGACAGGCTTACCACCCACCCCTCCCCCAACCCCCACCTAAATATATGACACTTTGCGACAAGACCGTTCGCCTTGAAAAGCCAAGGACGAAATGCAGACGAGTCTCGATATGAGACTGTCTCAATGCGTTATTTTCCGATTGTGTTGTACGCTTATTGGTTGATTTTTAAGTTTGGCTTGCGTTGTTCAAATGGTGACTGCATAGGCTTTCTTGTCACGGACGGTGACGCCAGCTTTTTATGTATCCATTCTTGTTGACCGAGGTGAATGTTTGCTGACCTGCGGCATTTATCGCATCGCTTAAAAAGGATTGTGTTTAAAAACCAATGGCTTTATTGACTAGTCGCAACAGGTCAGAAGATTCGGCTAATACCTTCAGACCAGAATTGTTTTTAAGTCCAATGGGAAAAAAAAAAAAAATGACAGTTCCGACATAAAAAGCATAGATCCATCACAAGAACAATTTTGCTAAAAGATTTATTCAAGTCGTTATTTTACGAAGCTGCTGCATCCATCCATCTTGTGAGGTAAGTTAAAGCCAATACATCTGGAACATGTCACTGCTGTGGACTTACTAGGCCTTTTCCTTGGACATATCATTTAGCATTTCTGCCTGTCACTCTCATCCGCAGTCTGTTTTTCTCTTCAGACACCAGAACCTGAGTGGACCAAAGAAGATGCGAAAATGATTCCAGCGAAAAAGATATATCACATTATCCCCTCTGCGTCATTTACAAAAGACTCGAAGACATTTGGTTTGGGATTAGAACTTGGAACGGCCCACTCAAAAGCGAAGTGTGCTGCGGTTGTCTCCGCGGTGGAAAAATGTTCACGAGTACTCAGAGGGAGGTAAAATGACTGCACGCGACGGACAGCACATACGGCGACATGTGTGCGCAATTTTAATGGACCGTTGTGAGCCTAATGACTTTGTGTCGATTGATCTCTGCATCCCCTTGAAGCCATATGAATGATCATTTTAATGGATGAAGATCTCTCTCTCTCTCTCTCTCTCTCTCTCTCTCTCTCTCTCTCTCTCTCTCTCTCATAAATAAATATAAAAGGCTCCAGATTCCTTTTATATTAATGGCATGTTTTTTTTGACAGCATTAAACCATTACATATGGACTGCATATTTCAAACATTGTAAGCCACAGGTGTCAAACTCAAGGCCCGGGGGCCAGATCTGGCCCGCCACATCATTTTATGTGGCCCACGAAAGCAAATCAAAAAAGTCAACTTTCAGGATGCTTGCTAAAATCTGTACCAAAATTTCAAATTCTCATTTCTTATAAAGAAGAGTGATACTGGAAGCATTTTCTTGTAACCAAACCCCTCATTACAGTCACTTAAACAATAGGTGAAGAAACTGTTATTCTTGACTTCTTTATATGGTTTCAGTCATAACGGCCCTCCAAGGGAAACGGTAACTCAAATGTGGCCCACAACAAAAATGAGTTTGACACCCCTGTTGTAAGCGGTCACAAAAGCTGATAATGATTTCAGGTTCGTCTGCAATTCCACACCTTAAAAGTTGAAGATGTGTCACTCTGAATCCGACAGGCCTCTTCAGCTCTGTGGTGGGTGGCGTGCAGATGGTTGAAGGGGAAACCAGTAATCAAATTCTGATTAAAGTAAGGTTTCATTGACCGGGATAAAAATCCAGAATGTTCCAAAGTTGTGGTAAGAATAAGTACATTCTAGATAGTGTCATAAGCGTCTCTATGTATTTGTGATGCGTTTTGCAGATCTTACCCTATCCTCTTTAAACTAGACCTCCAACAAACTCTGGACTGCTTACAGCAGAGGTTAAAGCGGTCAGAATCACAGCTCAACATGTCAGTCGACAGTTCAGTGACCCGATCAAAAGGGTGAGACGCTGATACTGTCAAGAGCATGTCGTGGAAGAGCTACTGCTTAAGTCACATACTTTCCGTATTGCCTAACAACTTCTGCTGAAAGTTCCCTGCCTTGACGGAACCTTACAGATCAGAGGCAGAGATAAACTGGAATTCTGAGGTCTCTTAAACAAACATATAAACACGTTTCATACACAAAAGTCCTTATTCTAATTACAGCCCTGAACATGTGCTGAGCAGTCTCTAATTTCTCCCCGAGCAGAGAGACTCGCAAAGCCGTCTGCGGCCAACCGACAGTCGGCAGATATAATTACTGCATCATCTATGGTCGGTGCGAGCCTACAGTGAGAGCGGGAGGCAGCGAGGAAAAGGGAGATTGATCTTCGTAAACAATAATTAGGCTCGTAGACACTGTATTGGGGAGGGGGCGGGGGGGGGGCTCTACTCGGTGGGACATGGTAAAGCGGAACGGAAAAGGAAAGGCTGGTGTGATGAAAGATGTAACACAGGACAGGACGCTCTCGAGATGTTCCAGAAGTTTCTATTCAACCAGAGCATATCAGGTTAAAAACATGATTAATTTAGTTTTTGAATCATTGGCTATAATGTACTGCAATCCCTCTCTGCAAACTCGAGCCACCTAGCGATCAATGCTAGCCAAAATGTTTCTGGTGTCACCCAAAGCCTCACGTGGCTCCATTTGTAGCTTTTATTGATACAAGGGGATAGCGCATCTGAGGCACAGTCCTACTTCTTCAATGGTGAATACAGTATACCCAAAGAAAAAAAGTGGGTAGGTGTCAAGTTGCAGATTTTTAAAATGATCACAATTTGAGTTGTTACTCCCATATTGAAACATGACGAAGCTGCAATTACGTGGTTGCTAGCAACATTTAGATACAATCGAAGTGTATAATTTTCAGTTTTTTCACACTTTTTTTTTTTTTTACTATGTCACTTCATTCTGCCAATTTGGGTTGAATTTAATCAGCTTCATGTTGCTGGGATGTTGATATTTGTGTCATTGTTGAAATGAATTGGTGTTGTTTTCAGATGTTCACCAATTGTACACACAGTTATCGGATATGGGTCACTAACTGTATAAAATGTACAGCTGTTACATGTGAATACACCAAAAATCGAATTGACTCCAGTAATTCAATCTATATATTTCATTGACAATTCGAACATTTTCCTGATTAACACCAGATGACACCACTGACATCAAATGATTTGCTCTCAAATACCGAAATTCTGATAAAGCACACAAAAAGTGTTACTCGAGTCCTGGCATCAGACACTGCAGTCACGGAAATAGCAATCGGCTGAATGAGGCCTCCCACAGAGCAACTGATGCTGGGAATTTGGAGTCACCACTTTCGGGTTGATGTCTAAGGGGTGGGGGGATTTGGGATTTTCGGGAAGAAGTGTCTCCCAAGTGAGATGATTGCCGGAAAAAAAAAAAAAAAAAAAAAAACCGGGGGCCCTCAAAACAGAACG